TTTGTTATTTTTTTTAGTGATTTTCCTCTGATGTTTGTTTTTTTTATTTATTTTAAATTTCACAGCAAGAATATGTTCAGAAGATTGACCCCACTTCTGCTCCATTGTCAGCTAGAAATAAACTAAAAAATGAGGTGGAACACTTGATTGCTTTACTTAATTTCTACCACTATTAAACCTCTTCATCTTTTGGTTGGGTTTTATTTTTCGTGTACTTGCAGTAACCTTGGAGCAGCTCTCAATCTGGTTGTGTAGTTATTCTTTTTGAATTTTGCCACACACTTAATATTGTGCCCTTACTTTTGATCAGGCTAGCATCCTGTTTAAGAAGATCTGTTTGAAACTGGACACCCTTTCTCATTTCAACTTTGCTCCAAAACCGGTATGACATCAACATTCCTATTTTCTCTTAATAAACAATATGCTGGAACATTTAAATTTTTCTGTCTTTTTATTTTTCTTAAATGAATTTCACAGGTTATAGAGGACATGTGCTTTCAAACAAATGTTTCTGCTCTGGCAATGGAAGAAGTAAAAAGCTATTCTTTTCTCAAAAATTTATTTCTGCTTCTACTCTTTAGTTACTTACAATGCACTATACTTTCCATGGGTAGATTGCTCCTGTGGCTGTTTCAAATGCTGCTATGCTAGCCCCTGGTAAGGGTGATGTTAAAGAAGAAGCAGAACTTACACAGGCAGAGAGGAAAAGGAGGAGAGCTAATAAGAAAATAAAATTTAAAGGTATGATTGGTTAGACAAAGGAAGTATCTGCCAGATGTCTAGCCTGTGGTGGATATATTGATTATCGTTTCAATACTTTCATACATGTCTTTATGTAAAGTTGCATACCATATTATGCTAATTACATGAGCAATGTTATGCAGTATTTTCTTCCAACCACACAGGCTGGATCTCTTCATTCACTCTCCATTATTAATAAACAAACTTGTATGGTTTCAGCTGAGGCAGTAAAAAGGTCGGGAAAGAAGGCAAAGTCAGAAAAGAAGCCAGACAATGCAATTTCTGGACAAGTTAACGGTAGTTTCTTTATATACCCTAAATAAGAAACGCCATATTAATCTCATTCTGTTAAATTTGTCACATGTTAATATCTTTTGGTTATCGACCACAATTTGTAAAAAAATAAATAAAGCAACTGCTATTGCAAATGCGGTTGTATTCTGAATACTTAAATCCAGTCACACTGGATCCTTAAGTGTTGTATTCCTTTTAAGACGAGGGGGGAGGGTCATTTTTGTTAGGTTTGTCTGTATATAGATTCTACCATTGTTAGTTGTCAGAGTGCAACTCCTCCTATGTTTGGATATGATGTGGATACAAATTGTTGAATAAGTCTAGCTTGGTGGTATAGTATAAAGAATATTTCCAAAATATAATATTGCAGCTTCTTACCATGAATCTCCCTGTATCTTTGCAGGCTAAAACCCATGTCATATTTCACTGAAGTAGTTACAGAAGCTGGATAGTTAACAATGTTAAGTTCACAGGTATTTCGTGGCCTGAGAAAGTAAAATAGAAAGGGTGGATTTTTGGGAGTCAACCATGGCAAATGAGTAGTTCTTTTTTTACAATGGACAAATGAGTAATTCATAGTTAGTATCAAAGTATTGTTAGGAAATTCACTGTTTGTTGATACTTACTGTTACCAAAGATTACAATTTTATAGCGAATGTGGTATTTACTCTTCAAGTTTTGTATTCTTTAATTTTATTCACAGATGATTTGTATTATTCATGGAAAAACTTTGTAGCTTCCTCAACTTTCTTCCCCACATATTAATTTATTTAAAATATTGGAAAAAAATAAAGTTTAACATGATGTTAAAATAATGTTGAGGCACGACAATCATTTGACAATTATACCAATGATAAATAAATTGGATATGATTATAAATTGAAAAATTACTTTGAAAATTCAAAATTTTGACACTAAAATTATAGCAATAAACTATGACACAAATATACTATAAAATCAATTGAATAATTTAGTATTAAAATTAATTGTAGCTTTTGCTTTGTTATAAAAGAATGCAAATTCTTGCTCCTAGGAGATATTCGGCACATGAGTAAACAAATTAAACAAATTCTCTGTTGGTGATATACTACATATTTGTAAATGTTAGTGATTTCATAATAAAAATTATACATCAACAACATTAAAATTTCATTGAATCATCTAAAATATGAAAGGATTTACCCGTGCGGACGCACGGGTCTTCTACTAGTTTTGTTAATAATAAAAATAAAAATAGTTGATTTATTTTAATTTTTAATAATACATTAAATTATTTTTTTTATTAATAACATTTACATCATTCTCAATTCCATAATCACGTTTTATTTTCTATTTATTCTCGCATGGGCTAGAAGATATATTTACAATAGTCCAATAAAAAATTGGATCCACGGTAAAGGATAATGTTCAATTTGATCTATAATATTAGACATTGGATTAATATAAAGAGGTCAACATACTTGAAGAATAAAATTACTTAGAGAAAAAAGTCATAAGACCTCTGGAATATGTTAAGTTTTGCCCTATAAAATCATTTAATCAAGGTGAGTAATTGAAACAAGAACGTTAGACAAAAACAAATAAAGTCATGGCATTTGTCACATTAGACAACTAGAAGGTTCTAAACTCATAAAAATCTATAAGTTATTTGTAAAAGGGGAGACAAACATCAAATTCAGAAGAAAAAACACTTTTTTAACCTAAAATATTATTTTATGTCTCAGATAGTCACTAACTTGAGCGTTATAGTATTTGCAGGTATCATCTTGATGCCAAACCAATAATCAAATATCCACCAGCTACCAAAGCATATCATTTCATCTAGAGAAGCAAATATACCATCACTCATCTAAGGTCCACACTGAATCATTGGCAAATTAGTGGAAACAATATAAACAAAATTCTATCTTATTCACCTCACATTAAGATGATACACACCGGTAGAAACACTTCTTATTGTACTCTCCTAACAAAGATGAAAAAAAAGGCCAAATCCTAACTCATCCTTGAATCTTTCGTCAAAAGATCCATAAGAATATTTAACAGATGGGACGACATCTTCTTCATATCTTTTGTCAACGGAAAATTGTGCGTTAGTTGAGAAAGTTTACCCATAAACTTATCTCTCAAGGAAGAAAAAGCAGTCGTGCCTAATCTCTTGTTGTCGTCAGCGACCTAACACCCTGTAACAAAAGTTACTATTTTATCTTTAAGAAAGATCCTTGTAGAGATGCATTTCTTGAGAACTCATTGGCCAATGAGAGACCTCTATTGACATTCTATAATGATAAGTTGATCAAATTTGTTGCAACCCATCACATACCCATCCTCATCAGAATAAATGCGTCATGGCATATTGTTCGAAGCATGTTGGTGGACCACGAGAGTTTTTGTCATATCATATACACTAACTAGGGCCTACAACCACCTTTATAACCATATACCGCAGAGGGGGGATTTCCAAAAATTAAATGGAAACAACACAAGATCTCTGAAATACATCAAACTCTTAGTGATATTTGGGGTAAAAAAAGAAAAAAAATTGTTAAGATAAGTTTATGGGTAAACTCTTCCAACTAACACACATTTTTCTTCATTAACCACCTTAGGCATTTAAATAAAATTACATATCACAATAGACCAAATCATAAAGTTGGAATCATATTTGGCTTCCTCATTAGCTCGAATAAATTTATGGGTAAACTTATCTCTCAACGAAAATTGTGGCTAATGTAGTTAGCCAATGAAACTAGGTTGATATTTGATGATTAAAATAAACACTCTCCATGTCATAATTATTCAAGCTAAATATAGATGTTGCAACTTAGCTATTCCTTTTATTCAATGTGGGTCCAAAACCTTATAATATGACGGGACTATAGTAAGTAATTGGCATTTAGTGGAGAATGGTATGCATTGGTAATTCATAATGACCATTATGTCAAATTTTGATACGATAATTAGATTCTAGCATTTGGTAAGCTACTAGATATGGTTAATCATGCTCCTTTACATTCTCATAACTATATCATTAGTGATTATGCTTATTCAAAAGGTTGCAATTGAAATTCAATTAAACACATCTTTCCGCTCAAAATTACTTCATAATTGCTAATATTATGCCTTCTACTCATGCTAATGAGGACTTTCCCATCTTGAAAATTTCAAATAATGATTACTTTTCTATAAAATTAACATATCATGCTTTGGGATTGATGATTCCAATTTAAAACATTCTCCAAATTTCAAACTCACGAAAGTGAAAAGATCCTCATTAAATCTAAACTTTCCTTTGGAAGTTGTCTCATGAAAATCTTTTATTAATATTGAAAGAAAACATTGTGGCACATCACATCTTGACCTTTGTTTTGTTTATACCCAAGCCCATGAATGATGATAATTATAGTACCTTCTTTAGTTTTGAATTATTGTCGTGGAAGCATTTTAATCTTTAATTGTCTCGAGTTAATATTAATCAATGGAACTAATCTACTTTATTTGATATCATGACGAATTTGTTGTGGCAAGATAGAAACTTATTAATTTTCTCAAAGAAATGCATCAATTATTAGCAATTTTTTACTAATATTTAAAGGTACTTACATTTTGTAGTACAATTATTTTTTTTCAAACAAAGAAATAGAAAATCAATGTGAAATAGAAGTCCTATCTTATTATTCTTTTCCAAGTTCAATAACGATGAGTCATACTTCAGTAGACTTTTAGTTTATAAAAGCCGTATCTTATTTTTAAATTTTTTTAATAAAAATTTAATATTAAAATTACTATTTATCTTTTTGTAAAAAAAAGAAAATTATTTGTTTATAATCAACATTATATACATAGTGGCATTGATATAGATTATTCCAAAGTCCCTTCTTCTCTCTATCTCCATCCACCCTTCTCTTCATTTCCATTCCATCGCACTTTCTTCATCACACACCATTTCCTCCCAAAAAAAAGAAATGCCAGGACTAACAGCACCTTCAGATTACTCCAAAGAACCCCCTCGCCACCCTTCTCTTCAAATCAATTCCAAGGCACAACCAAACCCTCTCTTCCTTTTCTCCTTTCTCTCTTTCTTTCCTCCAAAACGCTAACTCTCGTCGTCGTTTTGTTTCCGCAGGAACCTTTCAATGCAGAGCCAAAACGTTCAGCGCTTATCGCATCTTACGTTACGCCTTCGGATTTCTTCTATAAGCGGAATCACGGTCCGATTCCCATCGTTGAAGACATCGATAGGTTTGTTCTTTTTGTTCTCTTGAATTGATTAATCGATTGTTTCGTTGTTGTTGTTGTGAAGTGTTTGGTGTTTGTGAATAGATACTGCGTGGTGATTTCTGGTCTCGTGGAGCATTCCAAACAGCTTTTTATGAATGATATCAGGTTAGTTACTTAGTTTGTGATTTGTTGGGAATTTTTGAATTTGTTTAGGATTTTCTTACACGTTAGGGTCTGTTTGGATTGATTTGTTTGAACTTGTTAGAATGTTTGGAAGAGCTTATAGAAAAAGCTTGTGAGTATAAGTTGATTTTAGCTTTATTTTTATAAGCTCTTTTGATGGCTTATGGAAACAACTTATACCTCGTACGAAAACAGACTGACTTTATTTTATTATTTGTTATAGAAATAAGTTATAAATAAGCACTTATTATGAATCTCTTGTGCTATATGTGTTTAATTAAGGGGATGTTTGGTTTAGCTTTTGGAAGCCATAAAAGTGGAGGTGTAAAATTGATATAAGAATGATTTTGAGGTATTTGGTTCTTCTAAAGTAGAATTGATTCGGTCTCCATAATTGATTGTACTTGAAATTAGAATTTGTACCTTTTGAATTTAAATGTGATTTTACATTTAAATTTACTGTTCAACTCAATTTTGCATAAAGTTATCCAAACATAAATCATTTTACATTCAACTCACTTTTAAGTATAATCAATTTTACAGAATCAATTTACTCGAAATCAATTTTTTTCACCGTAGAACCAAATACATGTTAAGTTGTTTTTAGCTTATTTTTACAAGCTCTCTGAGACACCATGTGAAAACAACTTATACCTTATACAAAAACAGACTGACTTTATTTATTTTATTATTTGTTATAGAAATGATTTATAAACAAGCACTTATATGAGAAACTCTTGTGCTATAAGTGTTTGATTAAGTTGTTTATCGAAACAGGGTTTAAAGTTATATTTTCTTGTTTTAATTTTTTGTAAGATGAAAACGGAAGAATAATGTCAAATTGAAAAGTGTTATTGTTTCTGGAGAGAGTGAGGGAGTGTTTGGGTAAATAACTTAATTAAGCACCAATTTGATATGTAGATATTTTAGAAGAACTTATTGCAAAGAGCAGTAGTGTTATAGCACCACAGCGGCTTTTTGAAATATTTAGTAAATAGCATATCGCGGAACAGCAGTGGTTTGTCCAAATTCCGCTAAGCTGTAGCGGCTAGCTAACAACATTTGTGGAGAGTCGTACATTTGATGAGATATGATCTGAAAAATTGTTTATAAGTGGGAGTTGAGAGTCTCACATTAGTGAGTTGAGAGTCTCTTTTAAGCACTTACACCAGTGCTTATGTCATACGACAAGTCTAATTTCGCTATTCCAAACGTCCCCGAAACTCTTGATTTGATTTGTTGATTATTTTCTTGTAGTGATAAGTGACCATGTTATTTTGATGACAGGAAGCTTCCGAAATATAATGTAACTGCCACACTGCAGGTACTTGTTCTCTTGCTAAACTTTTATTGAAGTGGAGTAGTGATTGTTTTGGTGTTTTTACATTGATTTCCGGATGACTACATCATTTTGCAAATGAATTGTTTCAGTGCGCTGGGAATCGTAGGACTGCTATGAGCAAGACTAGGACAGTGAAAGGGGTTGGATGGGATGTTTCTGCTATTGGAAATGGTAAGTGTTGTCAGTTTGATTGTTTGTTGATGAAGTACTCTGGGATTGAAGGGGCTTCATGATGTGTTTGGATATCTAATAATGAATGAAATGGAATAGAATCAGGATAACTAAAGGAAATTACAATTTATTTTACAACGGGGAAGGGGGTTTCAATATATTCCACTCCATTCTACCAATCTAAACAGCCTAAGTTATTTTTGTTTCTTTTACCTCAAGTTTGTGTTTATCTTGTGAGAGCAGGGAAGGGGGTGTTTGAAAAGGAAGTCATAGACCTTTTATGCACTGGGGTAGTTAAGTCAAAGTGCGAGCAAAGAAACCTGACTTGGATTTGATCTCTTGATCGCGTAGTCCTCAAATGAAACTTAGACGCCCCTTGAATGCTTAGCTATTGGCTACTTATAAAATAAGCATGTATCACATAAGTGTTTGTGTATAAATTATTTCTTTTACAAAATATAAAATAAAATCAAACTGTTTTATAGACTACTTATAATAAAAGCACTTATCACATAAATGTTTATGTATAAGCTTTTTCTATTACAGAAGATAAAATAAATTCTAACTGTTTTATTTTTATATAAGCTTTCCCAAACCATTTCACAATCACAAGTACTTATGCCGATAGATAAATAAGTAAATGTAAATAAGCTCCAAAATGTCTAATGTAGTCAGTCTCTGTATTTTTAATTGCTGTTTCATTATGTTTTTATCTTTCAGCTGTTTGGGGTGGTGCTAAATTGGCTGATGTTCTTGAACTTGTTGGAATTCCAAAGTTGACAAGTGTCACTCAATTTGGTGGAAAGCATGTTGAGTTTGTAAGCATTGATAGGTGTAAGGTAAGGGAATAATGGCCTGTTTGTTTTATCTGGTGATCTTGAATTCCTTACCTTATTGATTCCTTTCAATATTTACAAAAATTAGGAAGAAAATGGAGGACCATATAAGGCTTCAATACCACTCAGTCAGGCTGCAAATCCTGAAGCAGATGTTCTACTTGCGTATGAAATGAATGGAGAAGTAAGTGCATTTGACTCTTGTTTGCTAATCTTTTGACAGAAATAAAACACAGTTTTTAATTTTTTTTAATCTTGTTTTTCATTAATTATTTTCTGTTTGTATCTAGGATTCATGCTACATCGGTTATTCATAGTTTTTTAGCATAGGAGCAGCAGATATTATTATTTAATTTGGTAATATGATGTAAAACAAACTACAAAGTAGCCGATGCTATGCACTTCTTTTTGCAATTCAAAAAATAATTTTATTCTAGTAATTGTATTTTTAGTAATGAATAATAGAGGTAATAAAAAAATAGGATTTTAATTTAAGTTCCATATGTAGATATTAATGAATAATTATTGAAAATTTGAGTTCAGTATGTTTTTTAAGGGGATAATTTGTTTAAATTTGAATGACGTATGCTGATATTAGTAAATAGTTAGGAAAAGTAAGATAGTATAGATGCTAGTTTGAATTCAAAAAATGAGAACAATAGAAAAATGGATGCTATGTGAAGGTTTTTTAAGAGGTCAAACTAATGTGACAATTATCAGTCATGGCGGATCGAGGTGGTAGATTTTTCGACTTCCACAATGAGCAATTTGTGAAGGAATGGCTGCTCAGAGTGGCATATTTCTGACTTTCCATCATGGTCTGCTACCGCTGAGCTCCTTAAAGTTAGGGTGCTCCCTCACTTACTGTTGCATAATAGCTCTTACTCTAAATACAGCCGCCTCCCATAACACTGAGTCAAAGTCAAACTGTTGCTTGTGGAAGGAGTTATTTTAGACTTCATTTGGTAATCTATATCATGCTGCATTTTAGTCTAGTGTTTTCAGCTCACTCAGTTTATAATCTTTGCCTTTCTCTAGATTCTTAACCGGGATCATGGATACCCATTACGTGTGATTGTTCCTGGTGTCATTGGAGCCCGGTCTGTTAAATGGCTAGAAGCTATCAATATCATTGCAGAAGAATGCCAGGTATGATATATGATGTAGTATACTTTTGAAATACCGAAAATTTCCCATTTAGAATTCCCTAGAGCTTCACATTATTATTATTATGTATATCAGGGTTTCTTCATGCAAAAAGACTACAAAATGTTTCCGCCATCAGTGAATTGGGACAATATTGATTGGTCAACAAGAAGACCTCAAATGGATTTTCCTGTTCAGGTATTTTTATTATTGCGCTTTTTCAGCTTTTCCTGACTTTTAAGTTGAGTTAATGGAAATTAACCAGTTTGTTATATAGAGAAAGTTAAAGTGCCAGTTTAATTTGTTACAAGTTCATACGCAGAATGAATGATGTTTTGAGCAAACTTTTGTAACCTATGGTTATTTGTTGTCTTGTGGCAGTGTGTTATATGTTCTTTGGAAGACGTGAGCACGGTAAAGCCTGGAAAGGTTAGTTTATGTAATGACGTGTATATGACGGGCTACACTCTACTTTCGGAGTCAGCTCAACCGTACATGTTCTGTCCGTTTGGTAATTTAATGAAATTCTAATGATTGCATATCCTGTGCAGGTAAAAATAAGCGGTTATGCAGCATCAGGTGGTGGGAGAGGCATTGAGAGAGTAGATGTGTCTGTTGATGGAGGCAAAACATGGATGGAAGCCTCAAGATTTCAAAAAAAGGACATTCACTATGTATCAGATGATGCCAACAGTGAAAAATGGGCTTGGGTGCTATTTGAGATCACTGCTGATATTCTTCACAGCACAGTGATTATTGCAAAAGCGGTATGTTACCTATCTTCTCCTAATTGTCATCATTTTTGTTTCTTGCGTTGTATGAAACCAAACCATAAACCGGTGTATAATATGCAGGTAGATTCGGCCGGAAATGTTCAACCTGAAAAGGTTGAAGACATTTGGAACCTTAGAGGGATATTAAACACTTCATGGCACCGCGTACAAGTTCAAGCGAGCCACTCAAGCTTGTAAAATTTCTACCAACAATCCGTCCTGTTGAGTGATTTTTGAAGCATCTTGCTGAACAATGAACTCTGAACTCTGAACCTACATCGGTGCGAACTGTACAAATACTAAAAAGAATAACATGAATGAGCTTTTGACCAAAAGGGTAGGGTTATGAATAATCACTTACTCAAGTTTCATTTGTGAGATTGTCTATGAACATGAAGTGTGCTATTGTAATTTCATCTATGGAAATAATACATTCATGTATAATCATATTATGAAATATAAAGGAAAATGAATGAAGCCTAACATATTATGAAGGCTAAAGCAAAAATTTAAAAATAAATCTAACAATAATATATTTATAATTAAAAAATTAAAAATATATTGTTTATTCAAATGTCTAGAAATAAAAATTTTAAATAAAAATACGACTTAATATAAATTAAAAGGACTTAATTGCAACTTTGCTTCTCCTATTTTGTGTTTTTTTTTTTGTTTTGATCCCCCATTTTAAAAACTACGATTTTGGTCTCTTTTTTAGGTTTCAAGATTGATATTAGTCCTCTTGTCATTTTAAGTCATGTTTTTAATGAGGTAGCGCGTTGAATGATGATGTGTCATTTTCATGTCAGTTAAAGTAGTCTTTTTAGTTTTAATATCATTTCCATGTCATTAATGTGATTGTTTTATTTCATTTTCAGAAAATTAATGTCTTTTTATGTCATTAATGTGGTTTTATTTCATTTTCAGCTCTTTCATTTTCAACCAATTTCTTCAATTCCAGTTCACGAACGAACGAAGCTTGGTCTTCCCTTTTCACGAACGAACGAAGCTTGGTCTTCCCCTTTCACGAACGAATCTTCCCATTTCTTCAAACACAGTTCTATAGCAAACCGCAACTCGCTTCAAATCAAACCGCAACCCGCTTCCCGTCGTCTCGGAAATGGTAAACCCAAGTTACGTGTTGAGGTATGTTTCGTAACTCACCTCTGAATACAAAAACCTTAAACACGCAAATGACGTTTGTGTTCTGTCATAGCATATTATTTGTTTATACCAACTCCTGGTTTTATCTATGACTTAATTCAGAAACTGTCGTTTGTGTTTTGTAGGCCCTCTGATACCCAAGCTGTCAGATTTAGAGTACACCAGGGAACATTTGATTCAGAATCCAGTTCTGTTGTATGTTGATGGGCTTGTAACTGAAATGAATTGGGATGTGGACTTGATGTCCTACATGCAAATTGAAGATTTGATCAAGAGTGAGGGGTATCGTAATATAAAGTGTTTATGGTATTGGAATCCTAATTTTTCCTTTTCTCATGGACTTCAGCCTCTTAACAATGATAATTATGTCTTAAGATTAATGGAGGATGTTAGAGGATTTAAGATAGTTGATCTTTATGTTGAACACAAAGTTGAAGAAATAAGTATTGAGGATGTTATTTTTGAGGAGGATAATGGTGAAAAAGGTAATGGTGAAGGAGCAAACGATGAAGGAGCAAACAGTAAAGTTAATGTCGAGGGAGCAAATGATGAAGTTAATGTCGAGGGAGCAAATGATGAAGTTAATGTCGAGGGAGCAAACGATGAAGTTAATGTAGAGGGAGAAAACGATGAAGAGGTTAGTGTCGATGGAGTAGATGAAGAGGTTAGTGTCAATCAAGTAGATGAAGAGGTTACTGTCGATGAAGTAGATGAAGAGGTTAGCGTTAATGTTGATGACGAGAGTGAAACAAATCCAGATTATAGCATGGGCACTGAGGATGACGAGGAAGAGGATGAAGATTTAGAAGATGAAATTGATGTGATGAATTTAGGTGTTGATGCTAGTATTAATTGGAAGATTGTTTTACCTAATGCTACAATAGAAAAACCTTCAAAGTTGGATGGTAATTCCGATAATGGTAGTGATTCAGATGTGCTTCAAACTCCACCCGGTAGTGATGCTGAAGGTGATATGGAAAAGTTTCCAATCTTTAGGGAACCCACAAAACTTGAAGTAGGGACGATGTTCAAGGATAAACAACAAATCAAAGATGTCATAAAGGAGTATGCAATGGAGAACAAGAAGAATCTTGTATTCAAGAAAAATGACAAGAAGAGAATGGTTGTCAAGTGTGTAGATGATTGTCCATTTCATATTAGGTTTAGCATTAGGACTACCAATAAATATTGACAACTTGTTAACTTAACTGATCGTCATGGCTGTCATAGGACAACCAAAAATAGACAAGCAAAAACAGATTAGTTAGGTCACCAATTTGTGTACACCATAAGACACACTCCTGAAATAAAAACCAAAAGGCTGATTGCAGAAGCTATTAAGAAGTGGGGGTGAAGTTGTCAAAGGATCAAGCTTATAGAGCCAAGAAAAAGGCAATGGAATTAATTCAAGGTGCTGGTCGTGAACAATTCACACATCTTAGAAGCTATATTGAGGAGTTGTTAAAGTCAAATCCAAACTCCATTGTTAAAATTAAGTGTGCTGATTCAGATGGTGATCCTGTCTTTGAAAGAATATATGTATGCTTAGAAGCTTGTAAGGCAGCGTTTGCAACGACGTGTAGGCCTATAATATGACTGGATTCTTGTTTTCTTAAAGGGGACTTTGGAGGTCAGTTGATAGGTGCTGTTGGTAAGGATGGAAATAACAAGATTTATCCAATCGCTTATGCCGTAGTGGAAGCTGAAACGAAAGACTCATGGAAATGGTTCTTTAATTTGTTACTAGAAGACTTGCAATCTATACAAGACATCAAATATGTATTTATATCAGATCAACAGAAGGTTAGTTTTATAGTGCTGTTATTTGTTACAATGTTGTTTGATATGTGATGCTATTTTGTGTTGATATGTTGTTTGCTGTTACAATGTGATTCTATACAGTGCTGCTATTTGGTTTATATGTTGTTACAATGCTGTTTGTTGTTTGCTGTTACAATGTTGTTTGTTGTTTGCTGTTACAATGTTGTTTGTTGGTTGTTATATGTTGTTACAATGTTGGTTGTTATATGTTGTTACAATGCTGGTTGTTATTGTTAGAACACAGATTGGTGTTTCTTATATCTCTATGTTTTGATGATAACTTTTATGGAATTTTTTAGTAAGAAAATATACACTCTAAAATTTGTTCAAAGTATTATTGTTTCAGGTATAAAATTGAAAACTCTTAAAGAAGCAAAATACATAAGTACAAAGAAACTATGCAAGGCTCTGAAGCATCAGATGCAAGACTATCAGAAGATTCTGAAGCACTGCCAGAAGGATCTGAAGCAGAAGCTACATAATGATCTGAAGTGTTAATGAAAGAAGTGTACAAAAGTTAAAAGCTCTGATCTAATCAGACTCTGAAGTTCTTTTCACTGCAAGTTCAGAGGTTTTGATAACCAGACTCTTATCATTAATATTCACGCTCAAGCACATACTGCTGCACACTCTGATGAAGACTCTGATCAAGATTGAGACTCTGATATATTAAGATCTGATCATCTATCAAGACTCTGATCAAGATTGAGACTCTGATATATTAAGATCTGATCATCTATCAAGGCTTTGATCATCTCATTCATTTTAGCTCTGATCATCTTAAAATATTTCATTCCTTTAAGTGTGCCACATGTTCTGAAGTGCAGATTATGAAGACTTCATCCTGAAGGAAGCTTGTTGAAGAAGCTGTGAAACTTGATTAGACGTGGTGCTACTTCCAAAGTAACCAACGACTAATTTTTCCAAAGAAGTGACGTGGTGCAAATCCCAAGGCTTATACAACCATACCTTTCTGCAGAAAGCATATCTCTGCCCATACTTTTTGGGTAATGAAAAGTCTTATAATCTAATATTATATACAGCGGCACACCACTCAAAGAAATTTGGAAAAGCTATAAAAGGAGTACTTATACAACATTTTGAAGTTGCTAATTCACTACTCACCATTTGCTCATTACTAGTTCACTCAGAAAGAAATACACGCTTGATTCATAAAAGTGAAAATCTCACAAAGATCTTATTCATTTGATCTCTTATAAAACTGTATAGTTTTTGTTGTTGTACTTAATCTTAAGTGTAAACATCACAGTTGTGATACAGCTTATTAGAAGCATTCAAACACTATTAGTTTACATTAATTTGTAAGAAGTTCCTTAAGAAGACCAAGGTGTGGTCAGTAGTTCTTGAGAAGACTAAGACAGTTGTTCTTAGTGTTTTCTATTGTAATCAGTTGATCAATAGTGGATTAAGTCCTTGTAGAGAAAGGAAAATCATCTTTGATAAGGTGGACTGGAGTAGTTGAGTTCAACGAACCAGGATAAAAATCTTGAGTTGTTTTTATTGTCATATTTCTTAAAACTCTTATTCAACCCCCCTCCCTTCTAAGTGTTTTTCTCACCTTCAGTTGGCATCAAAGCTTCGGTTGTGTTTGTGCTATCACTTAACTGTGACCAGAAAAGATCCAGTGGGAAAAACTCTTGATACTCTTGGTTGATATTCATTATGGCTGCTGAAACTTCAACACCCAACAACAACAAATATGAAGAAAGAGTCAGCACAAAACCTCCCATGCTTGATGGAGAGAAATTTGATTATTGGAAAGATAAACTGGAAAGTTTCTTCCTAGGATTTGATGCTGATCTTTGGGACTTAGTTATTGATGGATATGTTCATCCCACTGATGGGAATGGCAAGAAAGTTGACAGAAAATTAATGACTGAAGAGCAAAAGAAGGAATTCAGAAATCACCACAAGGCTAGAACTATCTTGCTAAATGCTATATCTCATACTGAGTATGAGAAAATAACCAACAGAGAAACTGCCTTTGATATATTTGAATCCCTGAAGATGACTCATGAAGGGAACTCTCAAGTTAAAGAAACCAAGGCTTTGGTGCTGATCCAGAAGTATGAAGCTTTCAAGATGGAAGAATCTGAATCTATTGAAGCAATGTTTTCCAGATTCCAGATTCTCACTGCTGGCCTAAAGGTTCTGGACAAGGGTTACTCTACAGCAGATCATGTCAAGAAAAT